TTAAAGTCTATTTTTCATACAAAACTAAAGGGATAAACAGGTATTGGCAATGGGTATGCTGGTCTGATGTTCATCTGAAAGAGGACCAGTTTCCACCTTTTAACAAATATATCTTTTTGAAGCCTCAAACAATAAATTATTTGTTCCATATGGTAGATTTCCGAGACCTTTTCAATCCACATGTTGTACGTTGGTCAGTCGAGCTTCAACCATTGAACTGTGATACATTAAAGAGCCACAATCAGTAATATTTGTAGAAGGTATTCTTTTTTTTCCTCTTCCAGTACTATCATTTGGTGAGTGTGGCTGATTCTTATTAGGGTCTGAGTAAAATGAGTATTAAGTATTTGATTTTAATTTTTGATAAGCTTGATCTTCTAAGTGTAGTGATTTGTGTTTCTGCTCATTTCTCACCACCTCTGAAGTCAGAGCTGCCAGCTCCATGTACTTATCCCTGCTGAACACCAGGAGGCGGAGCCGTCCTGTCACTGGGGACTCGTCCAGGTGTGTTAGGAGCAGAAGGGCCACAATTACCAAAGTAACTCCTGCCCCTGCTGCCAGATGCCAGCGGCGCCTCCGGATCCATTCATGCACGAGCTGTCGGCGGTTGTCTGGTAAAGCCACCCACCATTTCCTTACACTCCTGCACAGAAAGAAAAAACAGGCCTCCTGCAGTCATTCCACAATCACATATGGGCCAGTAGTGCTCAACACAATAACTCAGTCATTTACAGCGTCTTTTATGTTGGAAAAAATACCATCTTTTTGGCAAAGAATGACACAGGACTTATAAAATAGAGTGAGATCAAACATGTAATCTTCAAACAGGCGGCGGTAGGCCCAGGGTCTGCTCAATCCTCCCAAAGTGAGAACCAGAGCACCTGGTCCAGGTCTCACTTCTTTTGAGGCTTGAAAAAAGTTTAGATTCTATTATTCCAATTAAATTCACATTCTTATTTCAGCAGCAAACAGATGTCTACTGGTTAAATTATTTCATTTTTTTAAATGGCAAATTGCACTGGAACTTACCCTATAATGTTTTATAAATAAATAAAAATTGCTTTTTTA